TTTTTTTTACATTCTTCAGGACCATATTCGGCATTGGTCTCGTGATTCTGCTCGTGAGCGTGACGTGGCTGCAATGAAAGCAGAGGAAGACGATGTGGAATAATCTCACAAAAAGCCTGCCCGTATTTTTTTTAAAATAAACTCCAATACATAAACCACACACTGTTGTTGTGAAGACGTTTTTGTTTTCGTTTTGTTTGTTTGTTTTTGTAATAAAACACACTCATGTTTATCGTCAACAGCGTTTCCTAGACGTTTACGTCACATATCGCGTCACGTTTTAGTGGAAGCACGAGGGGATTTCAGTGGATTTCTCCGCGTGGATCAAGCTGTGGGATATCTGCTGTGCCTGACATGTGTCCGTGACTGCAGGGGACGAGGCCGTAAATGGTGTCTGGGATCCAAGTCGGTTTAGAGCGTTTCGTTTCCTGGTCATGGAAGGTCCAGAACCGGTTACCGATTATTTAAGGGAAGTGAACGGACACTTGAATGAACTTCAGAGCTCCGGTGAAGGATGCTCTCCTTGCCGTAAGAGCACCCGTTGTTTGATCCCGCCGGTGTACTGGAATGAGCTGCTACAGCTTGTTAAACTGGCAGGACCGGTGGTAAGACGCATTATTGAGGCACTGAAAAATTATTTATTCCCAACAGTAAAGATGAAATTTTAAAAACCTGCTTCATTTTAAGCTAGTTCTGACCTGCGTGCAACTCCTGTAACAGTCTCGCAAATAAGACCTTTCCAATCTGGTTATGAAATAAAAAGTCAACACTCGGACATAAAGTCTTATTTTTTTAATTTTTTATTTTTTGCTTACTGTATGTTAAATCTTTTATAGCCTTCTGACATTCAGGCCTGAGTTACAACATGCTGCATACTGTTTAATGCTTTGATTCCACATAGCTGTATTAAAAATCAGCATTATAACTAGACTGTCACACATTTTACTAATTGAATGTGTTAAATCTGTTGATCAGAAAGTGGCAGGATCCTGCACGACAGAAGATAAAACACTAAAAATAGAAACTTTAACAAAATAATTTAAATTAAGTTAAATATCTCAATAAGAGACAAAGTGATGAAAATTATAAAATTCAAAAAGGTATATATATAAAAAAAATACACATGCCTGCTTATTTCCCCTTAAGTTATGCCACATTTCTGGGTGGTGCCCATCAAAAACTTAACAGCTTATTCTGCTATTGACTCGTGTTTTGAGTTTCTGGTACTCTAGATGCTGACAATCGGGTGCCTGATTGAAGCCTGATTGGCAGCAGCTGTGAGGGGACAGTTGGTGTCTGCTCCAAGCCGGCCATGTTTGACTGATCTGGATAGGACCTGTGCCTTGAAGGGCAAATTCAAGCGGGTGGTCTGCAGAATCAGGTTGCAGAATTATTTAGAGTGAGCCCTAGTACCATCTCCAATATAACGGGGAATGGTATAAGAACGGTCATAGCGAAGCATTGCGACAATAAAGAAAAGATCCATTGAACACATTTCTTTGCTTTTTATGCAGTTTATTTATTGTAGTGGTTTACACATTACAGGCTAAAAGCCTAACAGGCTAAAGAGACACAAATCTGCCCTCTTTGGTGACCTGTTGTGAACAATAAAATAAAAAAATAAACATCAGTCTGAAAATTGATAGTTTTTCAAGTTTCAGGCCAGCAGCATCAGCATGTTATTTTTCATATGTAAAAATGTATAACACTGTTTTAAAACACACACTTGGTCATTTAAACACTAACCATAAACAAACACATTTGTACAGTCATACTTGCGTACTTTATTGAAGCACAGAAAGAAAATTTCACGTCACAATATTTTAACAGTTCTAAATTAAATTCTTGGCTCAAATAATCTTGGTTTGTCCTTACGTCGGTATTAAATGATGAATTTGACTTCTGGTGCCTTCCTAGAAGCCTGATCTGTGCGTTTAAAAATATATGATGTTAAAAAAGACGGCAAGAAGTTTAGAAGCGAGTATATCATGAGCTATTTCTGACTAATGAAAATTCTAATGAAACAGTTCTTCCTTATTTATTTATTTATGATCTGCTGGATAATAATGCTGCGTTTGATTTTGTTTTCCCAGCTCATTTCTCAGCTGATGGTCTACATGATCAGTACAGTCAGTATGGTGTTCTGTGGTCACATGGGGAGAACTGAGCTTGCAGGAGTGTCACTAGCAGCTGCGGTAAGGAGACGCACTTGAGGCGTACGTCAGCTCTTTTCTGTCGCTGCCTTCTGTAAGTCTTCATTTGGATTCTGAACACATGCTTTTTTAAATGAATGTATCTATTTATTTGCAGGTGGTTAACGTCAGTGGTATTTCTGTTGGCACTGGTTTATCAGCAACTTGTGATACCCTGATATCTCAGGTTGGGGCCTATGTTTTTTTTTAAACAACTTAACAAGGAGATTGTGGTATCAAGTTTGTTTTCCTGAACTGTTACTTTGTCATGTGATCAGTAAGTCTTTGTCTGAATGTTTCATGCAGACGTATGGGAGCGGTAACTTGAAGCGAGTCGGTGTGATTCTCCAGAGGGGAGTTCTGATTCTGCTGCTGGCCTGTTTCCCCTGCTGGGCCGTCCTCATCAACACTGAGCCCCTCTTACTCGCAGTGGAACAGAGTCCGGAGGTCGCCAGGTAAGTTCAACAGGAACAGCTAGAGCAGAATTAGACAAATTCATAATTATCATCTGTAAATGCACAATATATACTTTAAGTCAAAATCTGCACTACAGTAGAAGTAAAGCAGATGTGGTAGATCAAAAGATTTGCGACATTAATGTGCAGCTGACAAATCTGCAGCAACTCTGCAGGTCTTGCATGTCAAAATGTCTGAGAAATGTTTCAAGCACCTTTTTGAATTTAGGCCATAAAGAATCAAATCAGTTTTGTAGGCAAAGAGCACTTGTAATCACACCTGCATTGTAGATATGTAGTTTTTTCACACATTGTGTTTGTCTCTCTGGCCTGAAGTCTCGCCCAGATGTATGTGAAAATCTTCATGCCTGCTCTCCCGGTGAGTTTGATGCATTCAGTTTTCCCTCATGATCTTGTGTGTGAACGCACAAGCTAATGGTGGAAGCTATCAGTAAAATCAGAGAATGTCTAAAAGGGAGAACACCCACTCTGAGCACTTCCTGTTTCGTAAGGGACACTTGCGAAATCATCCAAAATGAACCGGGCCTTAGGGAGGTGAACCACAAAAATGGAACTCTATTTTTTTTAAATGAGCTGTCTCAACGATCCACACAAGATTTGCCTTACTGTTGAACCCATGACATACATGAAACAAACGTAAAATAAAATATGTCAACAATATTAGTCAAACAGAACATAAGTTGCAGTTTACTGATCTTATATCACCTCCTTGATTGTATGTATCAGTTTTAAAATTTTAATAGCCATCCAATTAAAGTTTTTAAACACATTACAAAGTAACAATATACAAAGTTCTTAGAAACAATAGTTACAATCGGCAATCATACGAGAATCAACAGATGTGTTCAAAGACAAAAAAATGTTCAAACTTTTTGTCTGTTTTCTATCTCCAGGCTGCTTTTATGTACCAACTGCTTGGGAAGTATCTACAAAATCAGGTCCAGTATCCTAACATAAGACATGTATGACATTCATGACATGTAACAAAGTTAAGTTTAAATGGAAAACGTTTTGCTCTTCGTTACAGGGAATTATGTGGCCTCAGGTTATAACTGGAGCAATTGGAAATGTCTTCAATGTTGTCATCAACTACGTCTTCCTCTATCCCCTGGAGCTGGGTGTTGCGTGAGTTTTTTTTGTTTGTTTTTTGTTTTAATCCCTTTTGAATGATAAGTGGTTAGAAGGGTGCAGATATGTGTCTTTAAGTGTTTCACGGGAATGGTGTGTTAAAGCTTTAAAACAAAAACAAAAAAACAATTATTTACTGATTTAGATTTTGAACCTGAGAGTCCATCACATAGTTCCAGTGGCACATCTGGACATTTCTTAGATTAGCAAAGACAGTGAAGTATAACTGTGCTCAAAACTGTAAACCTATTGATTCTGATAGATCCCTGACTTTTACTCAGGTATACTTACAGTATAGAATCCTTCCAGTTGCTCTAATCTGGCAAAACCATAAAATCATAAAAAAAAAATGTGCAGGAGAAAAAAAAACTCAAAACAATTATGAGATGTTATTTTAAGACTGTCTAATTTAACGGCTTTTGTGGACGCTTTGTACATGTTTTAATCTTGATATTTTCCATTCATACTGTGTCGTTATATTTCTTAATAAGTGCCTACTTCTATTTTTGGTCACTTCTTCTGCTCATGGTACTACTGAAGTGGATCTGCAGCAGCCAATGCCATGTCGCAGTATTTGCTGGCTTTGTTCCTATGTGCTTACATCTGCTGGAAGGGTCTACACAAAGCCACATGGGGAGGTCAGTTTTCTTGACCACAGCGTGATCTTCGAGTGAATGTTTAAAAAGCTGGCCGTCTTTTAATGGTGTTTGTTTTGTTTTTTTCTTCAAACTTCTGCTGCAGGTTGGACGCTTGACTGTCTGCAAGAGTGGGGTCTCTTCATCAAGCTGGCTATTCCCAGTATGCTCATGATTTGCTTGTCCTGGTGGATATTTGAAATCGGAGGATTCCTGGCTGGTGTGATAAGTGAGGTTGAGCTGGGAGCTCAGTCCATAGCATACCAACTCTGCATTGTAGCTTATATGGTAACTTTTTTTTTCATTTTTCCTTTCCTGTTTTTGGAGAGACTATTTCATCCATCCATTTATTTTCTATTGTTTTCATGAAACAGTGAAATTAATAACCTTAATAACCCCATTAATAACCTTTTAAATTAATCTTAGCTATAAAAATGCTTTAAAATATCTTAATAATCCTTCATAAGAACATATATTTTAAAAAGATTATAACAAAAAATCTTTGTATAATCTATACTTGAGAAGGACTTTGATCCCTTTAAGCATGACCACCATACAACTCTGTATTCCTGATGAATAAAGGACAATGAATGTGGGATTGTAAAATCAGTGACTGTTCACCTGCTGCATGGTTTGCTTCCAGTTTGTGCAGCACACTGCACATGCTCATCAATGCTCACCACTCCAAGGGAACATAGTTGGATTATATGCAATGCAGTGCTGCAGCCCAGGAAAACTACCAGCCTTATTGGCAGTTTCCTTCTGTTCATCTAATGAAGTTGGCAGTAGTTGCTTTGGTTTCTTTGTGTGTTTCTTCGTGTGTGTGTTTGTGTTGTCTTCATCCTAATGGCAGTTTTATTTGAGCTTGTGCAAGTTTACACTACAACAAATCAGACTGGCTCTAGCATCTCTTGCTGTTTTCGTCTGTTTCTAATCTTTGTGCTAAGATAACGAGCTTCTAGCTCTACTTTTGAACTTATCATACCAATGTGGTAGTGGTGCCATGTCCCTCATAACTTTAAACTAACTTTAATGAGATCATTTATTTTCATGAAATTCAATACTTCACATTATCACTGTGTAAATGCATATCTTTTCACAGAGCCCACTGGGATTCTCTGTTGCTGCCAGTGTGAGAGTTGGAAATGCTCTTGGTGCAGGAAATCCAAAGCAGGCCGTGCTATCGTGCAAAGTCTCTATCATCTGTGCATGTAAGAAACGAGTAATCTTAAAAAGAAATAATTGAAAGCAAACGGTTGGTTACATGTGTTATCAACACGTATGCAAACAGTCCCTGAAAACACAGGTCATGTCTTCACCTTCTCTCTTTGAAATTTCTACATGTGAACTGTTCTCTCACGCTGTGCATTTTTACTTTGTTTGTGCACCACAGTGGCAGTTGCCTGTTTGGTTGGGGCTTTCATCATCTCTACCAAGAACGTCATTGGCTACATTTTCACCTCCGAGCAGTGAGTGCACTCACAGACACACACTCAGTTTTAATTTGTTGCAGACACGTGGATGTCTAGCTGAGTCTGTGATGTTACACAAGTCCATTCAGACTATTATACAT